ACTTCACACGTAGGTAGCCCCCCCCTCCCCGTTTGGACGTATTTTCATCACAGTATGTAGCTAATGAAACGTCTTTACTGTTTGTCACATGTGCGATCCGTAAAAGTACGAATCTGTTAAAACAATCTTTTGCTCTTTGTCGTTCAGAAGACAATTTCACACAAATTTCTGTAAAGGATTTATTCAGGCTACCTAGGGTAAGCTGAGCAACCGAAACCATGAGCCCCGTGGATTTGGGTAGTCCATCAGTCGGGCCGAACACCTTACTTGCCTTATTTGATAATCCAAAACGTGCTAAAAATAGGCAAAGCAAGAGAAACCGTGGTTCAGTGCTATACGAATTAATCTGGGTTAAACGCGTGAGCAATGAATTTTTTATCATAGATTGCGCGTCAAATAAAGCCAGAATTTACCCTTCTTAGGTGCCAAGAAGCGTAAAGCCTCGTTAACTTTGTGCATCTTATCTACCAAGTGATTTACAAAGGCTGATGTGAAACCAATCCTTGTAGATACTTGCTAATGTGTTTATTTACGTGATCAGAAAAGTGGACTTTGCCTGAGTCTTGGAAATAAAGACGCAACACTCCCTCTCGAAAAGCCTACATGAAAATACACTTTGTTACCACTTATTGATTCATTTTTGGACAATTATATTAAAAAACTATCCGAGATCTACCTCAGGTCATTCGGTCCACACTTGGAACCTTTAGTTGATAGGATCACTAGCGGTTCGAGGGGAACAAACAAATTGAGACGGGATGCAAACAGGGCATAAAACGACAGGCTAGTGCTTGTTACGAACAATCGGATGAAAACTTCAGTGACAAACACCGTCCCCTTTCCTGGTTGATGGAATAGTAAAACGGGACAGAATGCTTCGACATAAATGAAACCTGCCCGAGTCGAATAAATTGATGATAACTTGAACGACTGGCGCAGCCCTTGCCAAATGTAAGTTCTCATGACCGGGTACTTTTTATAATGGTATGCATCCCTGAGTTGGTGGAATTCACCTCAAAGTTATTCATACGCTATTGTATCGAGGTTTTATCAGAATTCTACAAAACACAATCGTGTACTGTGAGCACAGAGAAATCAACGCAGCAGAAACGAAACAAATGTACGTATTCGAACCAAGAAGTACATTCCACCGTTTTGGAAACTAAAGCAATTACTAATGATCATTAAATGAATCATCTTCAATTTCATGCCCGATTCGTGATCATTCGATCGAAGCACTGCGATTTCCCTCTGCTTTAACCGGGCCGGTTAATTTAGGAAACGCCGAACATATAGCTTATCAACCGTTTTATTATCTGAGTCTCTTAATTCAAGAAGAATACCTCGAAATTTCACACGTAGTTGGATGCTTGAATAAACCGTGTTGCGGTTGGATTTTGTATCACTTGGAATATTTGCAATTGTGTGACAGTATGGACCACCAACTACGGGAATGTCTTGAGAGCAAAAGGCAGAAAGAAGTTTACGTGAAAGCCGCGATCAATTCACGGGAGATTTTAAACAAATGTGGTAATGCGTATAAAACAGGTGATTGATCCAGAAAGTTTTAACCAATCAACAATCTTCGTACTCTTCCAGGCACAATATTACTGAATGAACCGTCTCGAATTAGATTGATCCAAAATGATGCATTATTACTGGTTGACTTGGAATCGGGATCGAGCAGTTCTAGGCAACGGATAACCATCCCAACTGAATTGTACTCAGTAAATATCCCGGTGTCATAGATGACAAAACCTGGACTTGGTATGGATCAACTAAAGTCGGCAGAATCAAAAGTCACAAATCTTTTCAAATGCATTTGGAAGAGTCAACTTGGTCACTGTTCCTTTTCCAGTGATTTACTTTAGCATTTTCTGTGTAGAAGACATGAAAGAGTATTATTTCCGATGTTTGATTACACCGCCAAGTGACATCTCCTATGATTTTGCATGGTATGCAGCTTTGGGGTTACTTTCAAAAAGCTATGGTTTCATGTTTGCATAATAGTGCCAAGTTTCTGGATTGATTTCACTACGTAATAGAATGCGTAATGTATTTTTTCGCACGTGACCTCATCAATTGATACTTTGAAATTGCTCCGTCTAAACTGCCATTCTTCTTTCATTCCAATTCTTAACTAACGTTCTGAGAAGGCTGTTGTATATAGGTCTTTTGCCAAATGTTGGTCGCGGATGGAATATCCCACTTTTCATTGCTATCTTTTCGCAACTTTTTGAAACCAGTTTTTCGTATTCTCATGTGTTCTGAAAATTTACCAAAAGGGAACCAAGGGTCGGAGAGCATATTTAAAGTAGTTCTCTACCTGCACTAGGCTACAATTAGTATAGAGAAGAGCTGCTCAATCTCGATCGCAAATTCTCGGTTGAGTCTAGTGCATGGCCCTATAAAAAGCGTTTTCATGTTTTTTTTCAATGGCTTATTCTACAATCAAACGAATGCCTCAGTCTTTATAATACATTTGAATACCACGCTAATAAACGATGAATAGTGACTGCAGCTTTGTTTTTCGTTTTGGAAGACAAACGCTATTTGTTCTGATAGTTCAAACAACTCATAAGCGGTTTCTTGGTCGGATATCCATAATCTGGGCTATAGGACACCCAGGATGTTATAATGGGTAGTTTCCGACCGGTGTGATATTATTAAACGAACTCTAGAATCGAACGGTATGTCATCTTGCTATTGCCGGGATTTAGTCTTCAAATTAAAGTGGTTTGTATTGGAATGACCTAAATAAGACCGCAGTGGACATTTTCGGAAGACGGTCATAAATCGCAACCTTTAAGCCACAATAAGCAATTGACCAATGTGGTTGGACGTTCAAATTATCGATCAAAGCTTCCCAAAAGTTGCACGATATTTTCATTTTCGTGTTCATAGGATGCACCGGCTATAAAAGCAACCACAAGCCCTGAGGGCCACTGAGACACTGAACCTGAAAACCTGCTGTCTTATAATGCACATTTTATGATATAGGAAAACCATAAAAACTGCCCAGTGCACGTTGTTAGTCCAAAATATAACATCCGCCCGTCCGCTTCTCTCGCTCTCTCTCTCTCTGTCACTTAAATCCCCATGCACTGCAGTCAGCTGATAGAACCGTTTCACGCCGTCTCTTGAGTACACCAAAACGGTGAAGGGTATAAGATGCACTTATTGCCGCTTAGTGCATTTCGTCTTCTTCTATTCGCTGGGCATCCGATCTTTTATTTTGGTCGTTGGAAAGTGTGAACTAATCAGGAGTCACACAGAATTTTATGGGGAACCTGTATTTCTGACCACGTCATCTAGGTGGATTTCAACCACGATGCACTGTGGTCAGCAGGAATTGAAACTCTGAAACCTTGGGAACATTAACCTTCTAAACTCTCAGTCATCCAAAGCTAGAAAACGATGCTTTCATTGATGGTAATGAGTTTGCGGATGAGACTGACTTGAATGTGATTGACGATTCAGGTGACCGTGATTCTGACGATGATGACGATGATGGTGGTGGTGCTGGTGGTGGTGGTGGTGGTGGTGACGATAACGATGAGAGGGAGGATGATGCTGATGATGACTCAAATGATTACAACTTCACAGCTGAGGCTGAAAGTGATGGCAACTGTAATAGCAGTGACAAACAGTATCACTCATCTTGCTAAGTAATATGATTTTAGGAAAGGGATAGGAAAAATGAATGTAAATGAGCCTTTATTATCATCTTTTCTAACTATTTTCAAAACACGACTTTAGCAGTACATATTTTGTCGGACACTACCGGTTGTGATATGACGTTCAAGGAGTGATAATGACAACTGTGATCAGCCCACGGAATATAGTTTTTTTTACACCGTGTCGCTCGGGGTTTTCCGAATGCGATGGGTCAATGTAAACAGTTCTGACCATTCTGTAAAATGGGAATTGTTCAAAAGATTGTTTGTATTTTTCACGTTAACGCAATCCTTAATCGCCAAATTGATGAACAGAATTTTCATTCGGATATGATGCTTCCGGCGGTGTAGATCCATACATTTTGGTCACATCAGTCTGTAAACACTCCACAACATTGTAACACATGCTTGCCCTTACAAAACGAGTGAACCGGTAAATTTAAACTATAGTTCATGCCGTAAAAACGTGAAGCTCTTTTCTTGGAAACCTCAAAATCTGTGAATAAAAAGTTCAACCTTTGCGGTTCGTGTTACGAATAGAACAGCAATTTCTGGTGATCCTTTCGTCGGTCGCCAAATTTCAGACCAAATCAGACTGGAAGGATCTAACGGAATAAATCGATCACATTGTGTTGCTTAAACTGTTGAGTTGAGGAGTTCACATACAGATATCAGATTGGGGACATGATTATTTACTCTGAAAACGTTGCTCATCCTTATGCTCCAATGACAGTAGCAGCAGCAGCAGCAGCAGCAGCAGCAGCAGCAGCAACAGTAACAACAACAACAACAACAACCACGAAAGCTCTCAGCCGATTCACATATTCATTAACCCACCCATTACAGGTTTCTCATTGGGAGGCCTGTTGTGTGTTGAATCCTATCAAGTGCTGTCCAAACAATTCACATGATGGGACTTTCGATTGCAAAAATAATTGTATTGATGTGAATGATGCAAAAATTTATAATTACAAAGATATGCTGATATGCATCGAGGGGGGCGAATGAGGGTGGTGTACAAGGGCCTGGGCCAGTGATGCATCGGCATTCCACATCGTCGTAATCGAGTGATATTGTGTCCAGTACCGTTCCAATAGTTGGCATTGTCAGCATTATCATCATCATTATTATTATTATTATCAACGATAGGATTACGAGTATTTAGAACAACAAAGACAAAGACTGCACGGCCACTGGGATTGTCTTGAATAGCACGGACGATCACCAGTACCAGCAACACAACCGCGTTCACCACCAAGACAAAAGTCACACAGGCGATAGTAACAAGGGTATCAGCATGTACACAGCAAACTGTCCAGCAGTTTAGCAAATTGTATAACACGAGTAGACGCAACCACCTTTGCAACTCCATAAACATTTGAAACATTCGTCGGATTTGGCACCGGCACCTTTGAAAATTTGCAGCTTTTCCAGCTCGATTGTGTTCACCGGGGTGGCTCGGCTCAGCGGACTGAGCAGTCGATCGCGAAATTGTATCCGATGCGACTGGGCAAATCGTTTCGTGCGAAGTTGAGCGGAATTGGATGTTTGGAATAGGACTGTTTTGGCCGGGATAGCAGCTGTTTCGGATGGACATAGTTGTGTGTACAGGATTCCAAGTAAGAGGGCAGTTTGAAGTGAGATCATTGTGAATCAGATGGACTATGATGCAACGATAATGTGTATAGTCTGTGATTGTTTGGAGGTAAGTTGATCTGAGCAAGTTCCGATCGCTTTTATAGAGTTGACGGTGCTCGGTGCGGCCAAACTAGAACCGTCGTGCCCCAAGGAACCACACACGTGTTTGTGTGTGTTGTTTGTGTGTGTGTGTGTGTGTGTCTGTCCGTTCGTCCATCCGTCCGTCCGTCCGTGAACGTTCAGCGTATGTCATTCCATTTCAGATGCGTGCCATTCGTTTGGGAGTATTCATACACATGTATGATTGTGTTTGGGCACCGCTATCAGTAAGCTGATCGTGAATGAATGAATGAATGAATGTGTGTCTGTGACTCCATAGTTTGCGTTGCGTCGAAGATTATCGTGGAAGCCGTGCGATCAACACCGAACCCTGGGGGTGGATCGATTTCAGTGCACATCAATCACGTATCAGCAAACACACAAGCACACACTGAAAAATTCAACAGCTTTGCACAAATCATCAAGACCTTGATGTGTGTCACACTTCGCGCTTCGTTTTAGTAGGCTGTGCGCTCTCGCTCACTCACCAGCTCTCCATGGTATTCCGGATTTCGCACGGCACGGGGTTCCAATCGCCAGGGCCGCCGATTAGAAATTTTTCCTTCCTTTAGTTCGCCCATTCATTTCGCTTAATTCACTGACGCACTCACTCACTCATTTGTACGTACCTGTGTGCCTATTTGACGCTGTCATCGTGGTTGGTGTGTATGTGCTTATGTGTGTGTTTGGATGTGTGCATCTTTGAGCTCGTGTGTACGTGTGCCCTCGACGGTGTGTATGTGTACGTATGTGTGTATGTGTGTATGTGTGTGGTCGTATCGGCAAGCGCTTGCCTTGGCTAACCGGACCCGATTTGTGTGCACGAAGGACCGACACCTCCGACATTCTCCGATGACCCCGAATTGACCGACTAAAAGGACAATTTGTGACTGAGCTGTTTGAACCAGTTCAAGCAATTTGGACTGAAAACTGTGATCGGCAGCAGATTACTCATGTCCGAAACGTGTCAATGTACGAGAGAGTATTCGTCACCCTCGGGAATATGTTGCATCAAATCATATGGGATCGATCTATTGGAATAAACACAGTATTTTAAAGGTATGTCATTGCTTCAGCTGCTTGTTCATGTTGAAACTTTTTTCCCGACAGTTACTCTCCACTTACATGCCTTTTTGAAACCACCCTAAGACCGATAAGGATTAAACAGTTGTGGATAGTTTTACTGAAGAAAATAGTGCAGTACCTCTATAGAATACAGAACATTTGATGTCAAAATTAGGTTAGCCCTGGACACCCCTTGCAGGTTTTTAACATTCGTGTATTTTACCTGTTAGAGCCCAAACGTGATCTCCAATTGATTCAACCCATCCGTACTTCAAATGAGACAGGGCAAACCTTTATGTACCACTATTCCGCATCTCAGTCCCGATTCCCACCAAGCTGGATTCATCGGAATACATCCGGTGATAGATTAGAGCTGACGATGTTTGGTTCGAGTGAACCGAGAAGGTATAAACCATATCCAAACATCTTGAGGACCTTGTGTAGTCAGATATTTACTTGCAGTTGGTAAATTTTTTTTTCAAATACGGTTTAAACTCGCGTAAAGAAATAATTTATTGGGGAAATAAACCTGAAATAACGTTGCTAATAAGTTGTCTTTTGAACTGTCTGAAAAGCAGTTCTATCGTAATAGTACTTAGCGATAACGTACGTGTTTAAGGTTACCACGATTTGTACTATTGGGGTTGCGAAAGCAGCCGAGTACAGTTGTTGGATTGGCTGTATTTCTTACCGTACACGCCGAACATCCGACCAGAACTATAGGTTTATTCGTGTCTGTTGAATGTTGATTATTTTGTTGAGCTCTCCTGAAGCTAGAAATCGAATTTTGAGAATAGCAAACCAGATCCGCGTTTTAAATATTGCAATTAAATAATTCAGGGCACAAATGTGAGGATGAATGGCTAGTGTGTATCCGAAAGAATGTATAAACCCAAATTTAGGGGCATCGTTCCTCAGATTTCGGTTATGAAATATCGAGTGTTCCACTGCGAGCATCTCGAACGGTGAAAGGGATTGCATTCAATATTTTATTCCTCCCAAGCTTTTTTTCATAGAAGTGATCTTGCTCAAAGTGCCATTTGCTAGTAATCGAAAACGACCGGGAAACTGGGAAGCAATGAAGTGTTCGAACTATCTTTTGAATGTTGTGTCTCATTGTGAATTTGCTAGAACCAGGAAATTTTGTACACGAATGGTCGGCGGAAGTTATCCCAATCACAGCCAAGTGCTATTTAAGCCCCTGTTTTTGTTTGCTGTTCGAATAGTGAATGTACGCGTCCAGTGTTCACTTCAGTCACAATCGCGAACGCGTTACGCGAGACTCAATCCTATTCGGATTTGCTTATGGCATATGAAGGAACACGTTTGCACGAGTGGCTAACTAGGACACGTTTCATAGCAGCCTAAATCTACATAAAACAAATGAATACAACGTTGTAAGAGAACCAAATTGTTCTGAGTGGTTCATGTGATGTGCATTAGTGAGCTAGGAAAAGAGCGGTTTCGAACAAGAATCACATTACCTCATGTTGGAAGCAGAGGACCACAGAAACCACAGTGTTTTCACAGCCTATCCCATATCACAAAAACAGGGGCATTTTTAAACAGATAACTGTGGTCATTGACCTCTGTAAGGTTATCACCCAATTTATTTATTGATCGACTTAAGAGGGTGTAGTACGATAATTGCTAAATCATTCCGTTTTCTGTCATATCATTTTGTTTACAGTTATAATAGTTGTGAGCTTTGGGTTTACCGATGTGATTTAGTATGCCACGTGGTGCAGGCCACTTGAAATATTGTGCTCGCATCTCAAAAACGTGTTAACAATTAGCTAGTGAATCCTGTGATAACCATAGTGATTTGCATTCAAACGTGACCGTTAGGTAGCGAGCAAGGATTTTGATTATTCTCAGTGACTTGAATCGAACGAACTGCTATTATTTTACAGGGGTTGAATCGATTTCTTTTCACAGTGCTTGCAAGAAGGTACTTATCGGCCTACAACAATGTCGATGTGAAAAACAGTGTAAATTAAGTTATGTTTACCGAATCAAGCGAAAAACGTATAACCGTTAGATTGGAACCTGTTTATGATCTATGGGACCCATCGAATACATGCGGAGCTGATGTGGATAAAAATAATTGCTCCAAAAAGCTAACCTTGTTGTTGTTGTTGTTAGTTCCGGAATGAAAGACAGAGAGGAATATTAACTGACATGGAACACCGGTATCATCCCCGGAAGCATTAAACACCTGTACTGCCACACTATCCCAACTCCTTATCTGGAAAACCCCATTCTGTTTTCTCATCCTACCTCGGACATGATGCTTTATTTCAAACCTGGCGATGATGTCATTGGGTTAAGAAATAGCCACCGTGTTGTCCAATAAACAATATTTCAGTAAAATAAAGACATCACAGGAGGATTGATCCCGGATTCTCTTGTTTTGGTTCATACGAGCTGAAATAACCGTCGTTTCGAGTTGTTGTTGTTGTTGTTGTTGTTGTTATTGTTATTATTGTCATTCACCATCCCCGGGGTTTTGGCATAACCCAATCATGAACAGGAATAATAATAACTATGCCTGTTCGGGGTCGATCAGTCAAATCGAAAATGTGTGTGTATGTGCGTTTCGTTCGATCTAACTGAACAATAACTAACTCTGCTCTGTCGTTGTGCATCTCACATTCCAAAATGTCAATTGGTTTTCGGTCTCCTTTTGAAGCTGCGCCCTATGTCAATCCGATGATGCGAAACGAGAAGAAACGTTGATCTAAGTGGACTGTCTGTCTGTATGCTGTTTCACTATTTACTCGTCTGTGCCATACAACTACAGACTGTGATAATGTTGAGCCATTCCGCTGATAAATTTCCAGATTGATTTCAACGCATTTAACCAATTCCTTCTCTTCCCTCACTGCTTTCAGAGAATGGAGAAGACAACTCACCGGATCATCATTCTTGCACGAAACACATTTTGAAGATCGTGAACGCATAAGGGAACAGCAGGTATTCAGTGATAAAGTTGTAACAGGATTTTATTCTGATACACCAGAATAGCACTTAGTGGAACTAGGCTGTTTGGAGGTTTTCGTCATTAAAGTAAAGTGTTGGAATGAGACACAAGTATACCAATGTACATAATTGAAATATATATACAACCGAAAAGGATGATCACCAAACGATCTTCAGTAGCAATTCAACAGAAAATCCTTTTAATTCTTGAAGTTTTCAATCTAGGTTTGAAAGCTGAATGGGCCATTTTCAGATGGGTGACAATAGTAACTAGGTATGACGTTCCGAAACTTGAACTTCACGAAATATCAAATAGATAAATTTGGTTTTTCTGATCTAGTCGGTCGAGAACAGATCTGTTTCGTGAGTTCCTTTAGAGGCCTTTGTTTGTTTGATTCTTGGTGGGATCGTGTGTTGTGCACGATCTTGATATAGTCAAACGATTCAGGCCACCGGTTCATTGACCCGAAGGTCAAGAGAACAAATCCTGTCACCGCCACTAGTCTTCTCCTCTTCTTTGTTTCCCCAGACAGCATTTAGTTAGCAGCAACCCTTTTCCTGTAAATGTACTGTACCAATGTGCAATTTTTATTATATTATATGGCACATAAAAGCAAGATAATACTTGGTGCTATTGAAATAGGTAACCATGGTAATTGCGGATGCAGAACATAATAGCCTTCATCCGGATGTTGTGCCCGTTGTACGTCAACCGGTTAGCATCATCTAAAACAAGACTCTTTCATAGTTAAACTCAGCCTCCCTATTAAGGTCTCCGACTTGCATATCTGGTTTCAGGGAGATTAATCTTGCTGTAATTCTCAGTCTTTTAAATAGTTCCCAACGAAAATGGGGAGAAATTA